TTTGGGTTACACCCATACAGTGATGAACTGGTCCCAGCTGTTCTAACTAGGACAGCTTGGTTTCTTAATTGCTGAGGATTGAAATATTTCAAGTGATTTTCTTTTGCTGACAAAGATTTCTTATAAGCAGGTTTCAGTTAGTGCTCTGTTCTTTTTTCAACCTTCCATGACTGCCTATGTTCCATGTAAAACATTTTTGTAGATTTCAGACTTTTTTTCCCTGGGATTTTCCACTTTTCCCTTGAAAGCATCCATTTTGGAATCTCAGCTTCACTTTTAATCAACAGAATACACATATAATTTGGCATAGAAACACAAGCTTTCCCACATCTAACACATCCCAATTTAAATTTAAGTGAACACTGATGGAGACAAACCTAAAATTTCATCTTCCTGCTGGGGACCTATTGGAAGGATTACAAGAATCTGAAAATCTCTTCTCCAAAATTAGCCATAAACACGATCAAGAGATAGTAATGTCTAATCATCATTAACAAGGGTCAGATTTTAACTGCTGTCTTTAACCCTTCAATGTTTTATCTGAAAATTACCAATTCTTTGAACTGTCCAGATGGTTTAATAGGGTCTTTTATTCACTCATATCTAATTACTTGTCTCCCATAAATATTTGGTTATATTCATTATAACACTCTGTGCTCAGGAAGCACTAGTCAATTTATAAAACCTTTATTGAAGATTACAGTCATTAAAAAATCTATTGCCACCTTGCCCTATTTTTCATTCACTGGCCCAGATTCTCTTAGCAGGCCATGGGCCAGCATCATTGAAGGGTAAAGTCTTCATTTATACAAACCTGGAAGTCCAATAATTGTAACTTTGTCACCAAAGGGCACCTGAGAATTGGTACTGTTTAGTAGCTCCACAATAGCCTAACAAGCAGCGCATCTGAGTTTCATCAGAGAGTTCCACAAAACGTATGTGGTACTGTACAAATAATGCAGAGGGACCAGAAAACAACCAAATATAGAGCTAAAATTTTGATTTTGAACTAAAATATTTGAACTAAACACATGGTGCTGGTAATGATTGGCATTCAAGTACATGCTGAGCACAGGGTTAAAGGAACAAACAGATTACACAATAGAGGCATGAAAGAGGATCATTATAACACATGACACAATGTATAATGAAGTAATTATCTGTATGGGAAGGTGAGTCATGCCTGAGTCTTTGGATGTGTGCTGTGGGATCTGCTGCGTGCTGCTTCACTAAGAGCAGACAGGCTATGCTTCTTAAGTGCTCTGTGGCCTGAAAAAGGAACTTGCCTTACCCTTCCAACACTAAGTCAAGCTGTGCCAGAGTCCTTACAGTGTCTGCAGGAAACACAGAGCTTGGAGCAGGTTTTTCTCTAAAAAGCCTCAGTTGTCATGGGGTCCCTGAATGTCTGAAGCACAAGAGAGCCAGCTGGAGCCAGCACAAGAAAAAAAAAAAGGCAGATGATAGGAGAAGCAATGCAGCAAATAGTAGTTCTAATTTATCTTTCTTTCTCCCCATCTGTGGTCATACCGAGAATCTTGAGGTTGTTCTAAATCCCTCACACTAATCCTCCCCCCACCCCATTCCTAGTTACTGGAAAACCAGAAAGTATTTCATTACAGGCTCAGTATAAATCATGCCTTAAGCACATATAGATTATCTACATGAAAACTGTAATCAGAATAATAACCAAAATTGGCTGTTGGCCATTTATATGTACCAAGTGCCTGGAATTAGATGACAACTGCATCCAGCTCCTGGGGACCATCCCTCTTTCCATGGCCTCTTTTTATCACTAGTAGCCACAGCAGTTCCCTGCCCAGCTGCAGAGGTCTTCGCAACTTCCTGCAGCCCTGCTGCCATCACTATAAGGCAGCCAGGCCTTCACTCAGCAACACTGAGTAGGAGGCCAGTCTGTGGGCAGAGAGGGAAAAAAGACCTTCACTTGCTACATGGGCAGCCACAACAAAAGCAACTGTGAGGATTTGTTTCCCCTTCTTCTCTGAGGCTGGTAACCTGTTCACACCACCCTCATACCTCTAGTGAGACCCACGCTGTTACAGGGATGGAGAGCAAGGAAAGGGTTGACTCCTGGAGCACGTGATGGGGTGTACCTGCCTCAGAGGGGAAAAAGAGTTCTAGCACAGCTAGCTATTTGGGTTCCTTGATAGAGCTTTAAACTAGCTTGAAAGGGGAAAGGGACAAAACCAAGCTTGCCAGTGATGAGCGATGGGATGGTGTGCAAAAACTTGAGGAAACCAGCACTAATGGGATGCCTCAATCTGCCTCAGGGTGTGTCAGCTACAATGTACCACACCTGAAATGTTTCTACATCAATGCACACAGCATAAAGAGCAACCAAAAGGAACTCAAAGCTTTGTCCAAGTCCCAGAGATTTGACATCACTGGCATAAGTGAAACCTGGTGGACAGTTAACAGGCTTTTCAGGAGGGATAGGCAGGGTGGAAGAGGCAAAGGGGTGGCACTGTATGTAATAGAAGGATTAGAATGTATGGAGCTCACAGTTGGCAATGGCACAGTTGAGAGCCTCTGAGTGAGAATCAAGGGCAAACAAATACTGTGGATGTCATTGTGGGAATCTGATAGACCTCCTAGACAGGACAACGGTGCAAACAAACTATTCTTTGAGGAACTAAGGGACACTTCCAAGTAAATTGCCCTTGTCCTTATGGGGTACTTCAACTTGCCAGAAATTAATCGGTAGCATCCCACAGCTGGTACAACCTAGGCCAGAAGATTCCTAAAAAACCTGGATGACAGCTTTATGGAACAGATCCTAAGGGAGCTGCCTCAGAAAGATGGCCTCCTTGATCTGCTGCTTGCTGACAGAGTGGATCTCATGAGCGAAGTGGAGATTGGGGGCTGTCTTGGCCACAGCGACCATGAAGGGATTAAGTTTGAAATCTCTGTTGACAGGAGGAAAAGTGCCAGCAAAACCCGAACTCTAGACTTGAGGAGCAGACTTTGGGCTGTTCAGGAAATTAGTAGTAAGGTCCCCTGGAAAAATGTTTTTGCAGGTGCTGTGGTCCATCAGTGCTGGTCACTTTTCAAACATCATCTCCTAAGGGCACAGGAGCAGGCAATTCCTAAATGTTGGAAGTCAAGTAGGTGAAGCAGAAGGCTGGCTTGTCTGAGAAGGGATCTTCTCTTGGAAATAAGGCAAAACAGGAAGGTGTATGCCCAGTGGAAGCAAGGTCAAGGGACATGGGAAGAATTCAGAGATGCTGCTTGCCAATGTAAGGAGAAAATGCAACCAAAGCTCAGCTGGAGTTGAAGATGCCAGAAATGTGGGGACAATAAAAAGAGTGTTTTCAAATATATTAATGGCAACAGGCAGTATAGACATATCATCAGCATGTTACAGGATGAGGATGGTCACCTCACAAACAGGGACAGATACAAGGCAGAGTTGTTTAAAACTTTACTTGCCTCTGTGTTCAACGTGGATGATGGGCCAAAGGGGTCTCAGTGCCCTGAGCTGGAGGACCGTGACTGAAAGATCAACTTCCAGTTGACCCTGAAATTGTCCAGGATCTGCTGCTCCAACTGGATCCCTTCAAGTCTATAAGGCCTGATGGGATTCATCCCAGAATCTTCAAAGAGCTGGCTGATGTCAGTGCAAAACCTCTCTCAATTATTTTTGAGTAGTCTTGGGAATCCAGAGAAGTCCCAGCTGACTGGAAGTTGGCGAACATTGTTCCGATTTTCAAGAAGGGCAAGAAGAAGAACCTCGGAAACTGCAGGCTTGTTAGTCTCACTTGAGTGCCTGCTAAAGTTATGGAGAAGATTATTCTGTGAGGTATTGAAAAACACAGCACAGTCATCAGACACAGCCACCACAGCTTCAGGAAAGGAAAGTCCTGCTTATCAAACCTGGTTGCCTTCTATGACAAGGTAACACACCTATTTGATCAAGGGAGGCCTGTTGATGTATAATGGCCAGTCTTCGCGAGCGAAGATTTGGGAAAGGTCATTAACCCTTCGAGCCTGCGCAGTGGATTTTTTAGGTGAGACACAGCGTGCGCTGAACTGAGCCCACCCTTTAATCCTGAGGTTCATCTGCCGGGGCCGAGCAAGCTTGGACAGTGGCAGTGAGGTCCCCAGGACGTAGGTTTGTTTAGAGTGACCTTCTCTTAGATGGATTGCCACACAGGGCTGATGAGCTCCATCTGCCCGGGGGGCCGGGAATTGAACCCGGGTCGCAGCGGTGAGAGTCCTGCACCCTAACCACTAGACCACCAGATGTAATGTTTTTGGATTTCAGTAAAGCTTTCTATACTCTCTCTCACAGGATCCTGCTGGACAAAATGAACGCATCATGTGGTGGGTGAGCAATTGGCTCACGGGTCAAGCACAGAGGGTGATAGTGAATGGGGTGACATCAGATTGGCATCCTGTCACTAGTGGGATTCCACAGGACTCCATCTTGGGCCCTGTGCTCTTCAACATCTTAGTAAATGACTTGGATGCAGGACTGGAAGGGATACTAAGCAAGTTTGCAGATGATACAAAACTGGGAGGAGCTGTTGACTCCGTTGAAGGCAGGGAGACCCTGCAGAGAGACCTAAACAAATTAGAGGACTGGGCAATCACCAATCATGTGAAGTTCAACAAGGGTAAGTGTCGGATTCTGCATCTGGGTTGGAGCAACCCCAGATGTACAGACTAACTGGGGAATAAGATGCTGGAAAGCAGTGCCATGGAAAGGGACGTGGGGGTCCTGGTCAATGGCAAGTCGAATATGAGTCAACAGTACCCTGATAGCCAGGAGGGCCAACCATGTCCTGGGGGCATCAGGCAAAGCATCGCCAGCTGGTTGAGGGAGGGGATTGCCCTGCTCTGCTGTACACTGGGATGGCCTCACCTTGAATATTGTGTGCAGTTTTGGTCACTGGATTATAAGAAAGATATTAAGCTATTAGAGAGTGTCCAAAGGAGAGCAACAAAGACGGTAAAGGGCCTTGAGGGGAAGCCTCGAGAAGAAGAGACTGAGGGGAGACCTCATTGCAGTCTACAACTTCTTCATGAGGGGAAATGGAGGGGCAGACACTGATCTCTCTGGTGACCAATGACAGACCCCAAGGGAATGGCCTGAAGTCGTGTCAGAGGAGGTTTAGGCTGGATATTAGAAAAAGGTTCCTCACCCAGAGGGCGGTTGGGCGCTGGAACTGGTCACAGCACCAAGCCTGACAGAGTTCAATAAGTGTTTGGACAATACTCTCAGGCGCATGGTGTGACTCTTGGGGATGGTCCTGTGCAGGGCTAAGAGTGGGTTATAATCCTTGTGGGTCCCTTCCAACTCAGCATATTCTGTGATTCTGTGAAACCTTAATGGGAAGTTGAAGAGAGGAAGAGGAAGAAAATGAGATATGAAGCTGGTAAGCCAGCTGGGAGGTAGCTCACCTGTGTTCAGACTGAGCTCTCAGTCTGCTCTCAGGACTGCTCTCAGGACTACATCCTTCATTTTCACACAGGGTGTGTTTAAATAGTGTTTATTCACTGACTGTGAATTCACAAATATTACTGGAGGCAATTCATCATAATCAGCAGCTCAGGTTACACTCTCCAGAATGATGGAAGATGTGAATTCTGTCATGCTACTGAAAGCTCTGAAAAAAAATCCCTTTCTCCCAAGTGAGTGCTCTAACTACTATATTATTATGTAGAAAGCTGGCAGACATATTACATCTTTTGATTGTGGGTTTGAGGTATTTTTCCCCAGTTTAAGAATAAGATTTTTACAGCTGCAGGGATTCCAGCTCAATGCACTACAAAGTGAGCACTGGGTAATCCCCCGAAATTTGTGGTTCTGCTGCAGGAGCATGGGGAAGGGCAGGGGTTCATTCACCTCTCTCTGCTCAGTGTTCAGTCGCTCAGTCAGATCATGAGTGGGTTTGGATTCCAGCCCAAAGCATTTTGCCTCCCTCACACACAAAGAGGGGAGAATGTGTGTCCACCTGGGGATTGTGGAGTACAAAATGAGAACCAAACACTTCATTTCTAATAACACCTGGCTTCTCCTGTTTAAGCCATAGTCTTTCACTCTCTGACACTAATATATCACCCAGACTTTCCGAATACCATTTCGTTTCTGAATCATGATTAGTAGTTACTATTTTTATTTATTTGCTGCTGTACATCTAGATCTTTCACAAACATCCTTAACTTAGCTTGTCATTTATCTGTCTGTTTCCTCTGCTAATTTATATATGTGTCTATGAACTTCTCTATTTCTCATTCATTTTTATAATATCTAGAAAATATATTGATGCCTTCTCTTTCTAGCTGGCAGAACATCTTAATTTTAGGGGAAGGAGGGGAACACCCACAGAAGCATTCATTAAAAAATTGCAATTCTCATATATGAGAATTTATGTTTAAGTGTTTTCTCATTTATGTTTAAATATTTTCTCTCACTAATTTCATTTATAATTATTTTCATCCTTGGTCTGCCATGGTGCAGATCTGCTACGAGCCTCAGATCCCTGAGTGCACAAGTGGCCCTGAGCTGCCCTGAGCAGATTGGCTTGACCTCATACCTGCTTTGGTTGGTGGACATGAGGACATGTCTGGAGGCCACCAGGCTCTTGGACAATCTTCAGTCCCTGTTGCTGCTCTGCTGGCCTTGCTGGAGCATCATAGCTTGAAGGGGAGGAGGCTACCGCTGCCTGCCTCACTGCCACCTCTGCTCCTTTCCCCTGCTGAGCAGCCCTGTCTGTGCACTGACACCAAGACTTTTATAAACTCTTTGTGCTCCGGCATGTTATTTTATGTAATATTTAGATCCTCTGAACTATTTTCTCTCAGTAAAACTCAGACTCAGCATGGGTCCAAGCAACAAGAGTGCACTACAAACATGAAAAAAATGCTTCACAAAGGAAGTGCAGCAATGCCACTGACCTCAGACATAGTGGGATTTTCACAGCAGTTGTGTGTACTAGGATGCCCATGACTTTCCTTCACTGGGACTGCTCATCTATGTCCCTGTGCTGCTCAGAGTTGGGGCAGCCCTCACAAGAAGACAGTATGACTAATTGATTTCTCAGGTCTGACAACAAATAAAAAAAAAAAAAAAAAAAGCCTCATTTCAGACACTTTGGAATTTCTTTCATCTCTTCATCTCAAGAAGAATAAAAAATTTTAATTATTATTATTTTTTTTCAGCGCATATCATTATATTCCACTGTTAAAATATTCCACTTAACAGAGAATAAGAATGTTTTGGACACCAAAAATGAGCAAACACCCACTCCCCCTTGAACAGGGAGAGACAAGTTCACAAAACTTACTGGTGACGTTATTTTGCCTCTTACCTGTTAGCAGAATGGGGCCCAGGATTTTGCAGTCCTGGATTTAAGCCTGCCCTTCTTCATGGTCTTTGAACCCACAACTCTCAGACCCACAGCCTGGGCCAGCCTGGGGTTGAGAGCACCCCTTACAGCATTTCTCCATATGTTCCTAGCAGGGTACCATCTTCACCAGCTTCATAAAGTGGAACAGCTCTGGGAAGGACACTCAACAGCACATGCCTCCCCAAAACCCTACTGGTCAGGACTATCTAATCAGCAGAACACCCAAGCTCAAGGCCACCTTCTGACTGATTTGTCATAGGCAAAAGATCCAAGATTGTTTATGTTCATTGAACAACTCAAATGCCATGTTGTCAGTGTCTCCTGCATGGCTTTCCCCCAAACTGCAAGGAATCGTCCTGTGTCCTGACAGTTGCAGCACTTGAGACAAGTGAGATGAGTGTCTCAAATGAGACATTATCCACAGCAAATGAGAACTACCTACACCTGAGTAGCTTAACAGGAGGGGCCTTCCCTGGGTGGAGCAGGAAAAATGAAAATTGCTTCAGTACAGCTGAAATAGTCAGTCCCAAACCGCTCAGAACCCAAGCAAATGCTGCACCACCGTATACTGCTGAGTAAAAGTTGTTTCCTGAATTAAACCTCCCACATTATTCTGCCAGATTTACACTGTCGACCCAAATTTATGACTAGTTTTAGGACAACTAAGATCATATTTTCCAAAGATTTTAACTAGTCACAAAAATAAATACCAGTTATCACCTAGGTTTTCTACTCATTCCATTTAAGCAAGTTATTTCTGTTCTATCTAACACTTTTCCCATTTATGTATGGAAAATCATATCAGTCCATGTAAAACAGACTGCAGAGATTCTTTGAAATCAGTCCACAACCCAAAATTATTTGCACAAGATCAAAACCAGTGCCAAATGTTAATAATCTAAATTAACAGAATTTTGCAGCCAAGCTATATTGGCAATATGGATTGTAAAATAGAAAGGGTTCAGACTTATTTATGTTTGTCAAACTGTCTGGATGCAAAAGTGCTCACTACCTTCTTCTCTTTTTCTTGTCATCTCTCTCAGTCACCATCCTAATCATGAGCCATCTCTTCAGATTTCCCTTGTACTATGATCTCTATATCTATCTGTCATCCAGCCTTGAGTGAAGTGGCTCATCTGACAGAAGTAGAGTTGGTTTGCCAAATTTCCATCACTATCGCTCCATGGCACAGCTCTGGGATATTAATGAATAGTTTGTTACCTAGGGCCACCCAGTATGGATTACTTTAGAAGCATCTTTTATCTTAGTGCAACAATTACAGAATTTAGTAGGTTAAGGGATATAGTGTATGTAGGATTTCAGGAAATCCTTTTGCAAGGTTTTCATTCCTTAGTTGAGATGCAGAGCACAACTATTTTAAGGATTAGCTCTTCCTTTTCCGAACACATGCTTCTTTGATGATACCACATCCTTCTATCTTCCTCTGTGGAACAGAAATGGAGAATAGTCGCGCTGGGGGAATTATTAGCCTCAGCCTCCTTTATACCTTTAAGGCAATTACATTCCAAGACAAGAGTATCTAATGTGCAGCACTTTCAGCATGTGTAACTTAGGTAGTTTTATGAAGTCATAAAAACCTCCAGATATATTCTTCTTTTAAGGACTGTCATTCGCTATAAACCTTTAATGCAGGTGTTTATTTTTTTAATGTTTTGAAAGTGGAAAATGTTTTCTAATAAAATATATGGATCTTTTTTTACTCTGTAAAGAACTCTGAGAATCTTTTTTTTTTCCCGGTGGAGAACTAAAGGCAGAATTTTATAATAACCAAGGATAATTATTTTGCTTATTTGTATGTTTTAATTTGACACTCGGTACCATGCTAGCTGAATGTAATATTGCTGCAGTGGAGGAGCATACAAAATAGTTTATGGAGAGTGACAACTTTCAGAGCAGTACTTTAAAGAATGAATACTATATACAGGCATCTTTTGCATAGTACCCTGAACTGGGAAGATAATATGTGTGTCATAGGGAATGTAATTTCTGCCAGAGATATCCCAGTAAAAATTATTCCAGATGCATCATTCTCAATTAAGATGTATGGTTGAAAACAGTTCACATATTTCTGAGCCGGAATCATTGCCTAAAGTGGTAGAAGACTGGGCACAATAACAGGCACAGAAAGTGCCAATGTTCCATTGTCTTAACCAGGCAGAGCTAGCTGAAAATTTCCCATCAACATGATTTTCTGAAGTAAAAGGGTGTGTCAGTTACAGGCAAAAGAAAACCTATCTCTCTAAGTATTTTCCTTCCCAAACAGTTCTAATCTTTAACTGTTCACCTTCATATCTGCTCAGAATTGCTCTTCTCTCTCAGAGTTTCTCAGAATCACACCTCCACTCCCACAGCCAAACAACTTCTTCCTTGGCACCTTCGCTATGAAGTATTTCTCCCCACTTCTCTATCCCTTCAAACCTTTTTTTATGTCTGTCAGTCCTTCTGACTTCAACTTTGTTGGGAAATTTCCCCCTAAATTTCATCAGATTAAAACCACTTCCTACTGAATAATCCATCACTTGGTTACATCTTTCTGAAGTGCAGAATTGAAAAATTGCTTTGCCCAGTGACACTTTGCCTTTACTGGCAGTCATTCAAGTTTGATATAATTTTGTTGTTATTCATATGCCAGGTGTAGGAATTTTTCCTATTACCGACTATGGATTTAATTCTAATAGTTGAAGCAAAGCATATCAGAGGACAAAACTATGTCCCCAAAATGTATTTTTTAGCTGAACACTTGTATGCACAGCAAATTCCCATTATCAAGCTGACATAGCATTTGTACACAGA